CGGGACCCCCCGGCCGGGCGAGGGACTGACCCAGCAGCAGTTTCTCTAAGTCATTTGATGGGGCGCTTCCAGCATTTCCATCAAGAAGGTGTCGATGGGTGTGTCTCCTATTAGCTTGAAGAAGAAGAGGTGCTCCAGGCATTTCAGGCCGATGGACCGGAGGGCTGGGAGGCGGAGCAGGAGCTTTGCAAACCTGGGGGACAGGAGACATGGCACAGTCAGACACCTCCCCATCTCCAGCCCTGCTTCTGCCCAGCTCCCCAAAGCTCAGAAGGGTTGGGAGTCAGACACAACCTCCTGCTGCCAAAGACACGGGGCTACACCCAGAGCTGTGCAGAGAAATCATTAATTATGTCCCCAGACTTGAAGATCAGGCAGCCACGGTGGATATCCACAACAAACAGTGCTCATAGCTGAGCTGGGAGGGTAAAACAAGAAATGAAAGGTCAGCCCTGGACTGGGGTGCACCACTGGTTTGGTGCATGTGCATCACCACCCAGTGAGCACCCTGAGGTGCTCGTGGGGTCCCCACACCACAGCCACGGCGAGGAGGCACCACGGGGCCAGCCTTGGCACAGGCAGAGGTGCAAACAGCTTCAGCAGCTGGATCTTTGGTCAGGGAAAAGGGCAAGCAGCCGGGAAGGGGATGGAGGAGATGGTGAGTGGCATTAGCTGGCACTTGGCTTGGCGATGTCCCTTTCCTGCAGGCACTGGGCACCTCCCAGGCAGCTCCACCAGCCCTCACTGGGGCTGCTGGCCATCCCCAGCTGCAGCTGAGCCCTGGGGCTGCTGGCACAGCAGAAACCTGGCTGACAGATGGGCTGCAGGCACCTCGGGGGTGAAGCCAATGGAAGGAGACAAGGGCTTTGACACACAAGTTGGCAGGAGCCCTGCAAACCATCCAGCACACAGGGTGCTCCCCTTCTCCAGGCCCAGTACGGAGCCCCAGCGGGACAAAAGCCCTTTCTCCCCAGCCTGCCCTGCCTGGAGTAGATGCTATCAGGTCACCCCCGTGATGCCAGCAAGAGCTGACAGGCAGAAGGACAGGCAGGAGGGTTGGGAAGAGCCAGGGGGGCTGGGGAGAGCCAGCAGCACTGCAGGAGCCAGCTGGGATGGAGATGAGCCCAATGGATCCATATCATTGAAAAGCTGCTGTGTGTTGGGCTCTGAGGGTGGCAAGAGGCTACAGAGCCAGGAGAGAGCCACCAGCTCCTGCAGGGTGCTTTGGAGCACCCTGGGGTGGCCCCACTCTGCCTGCCCATGCCCTGGGGTGCAGGCAGCAACTGGACCTCACCTCCCAGTACCACCTCCTGGTACAAAGCCTTGAGTGAGTGATCCCCACACAGGAAAAAGCCCTTTAATGGCCAGGAGTGTAGTTATTTGCTGTTCCTGCTACAAAAAGCAGGGCTTGAACATAAGCAAAGACCCAGAGAGAAGGGGACCCTCCAGAAAACACACACACACACATAGAGACATGCACAAACACACAGATATTACACATGCATGCACAATTCTCTCTCTCTACTTTTTTTTTTTTTTTTTTTTTTTTTTTTTTGCTGAGCTGGCGAGAACGGCGGGAGCAGAGCCAGGAAAAACAAATCAGTCCTACCATCCCATTCAGGAAGTTTCACTTTAAACCAAACCAGATGATGGCTCCAGCCCTCGGATATGTTTAACTGTGAGATAACCAGCCCGGAGCACAACGTGCCAGGGCTGGGAGGGGAGAAAACAGCCCTGATTCCTGACTCCCTGCGGCTGCTGGGTGTCACGTAGGAACCCCCTGGAGCAGCAGGGGCTGCAGGGGGGGAGCATGGGTGGGTTTTTCCTAGGAATGCCTCTCTCTGCCCTGCTGCTGCAGAGGAGTTCTCTTTTGGTGTTTACATGGTGCTCCCAAAGCTCTTGCTGGCCGGGGACTCTGCTGAAGCCCCACACTGGAAGGCACCTGGAATGGTGGGAAGGCCAGTGATCCCACAGCGTGGAGAGGGGAGGGGACCCATCATGGCTCGAGCAGGAGTTTGCTCAACCACAGGAAGAACTTGTTTCCAGCCTCAGATGGTGATCACATTGTGCCATGAGACCAGGAGGATGGAGAGAGTTCCTGAGAACTTTGTTGAGCTCTTGTGCAACTCCGGACTCCCAGCCCACGAGTTAACCCTCCCGAGCCACCTGGGATTATTCCACCCCTGCCCTGCACCGTAGGAGACATGGGGTGAGGTCAGCAGTGCCCGGTCACGGCTCTCAGGACATCCCTCAGCATGCAAAACCTTTAAGGTCACCAAGGAAAGGTGTGGGGATCACACAAAGAGGTCCCCAGCCCAAGGTCAATCAAAGCCAGTGAGAGATTAAACTCCAGAGCTCCTGGTGCAGCTTCCAGACTTAAAACACTCCCTTACACATCACTGAGCATGGAGGCAGAGCCCAGGGGAACTGGTTTGAACTGGTGGCTCAGTGACTGTGCTCAGTCATGCACAGCAGCTTGGCGGTGGTTTGGGTGATGAAGAGCAGGGCTGTCCCTGTGACAGTCCCCTGCCCACCCCCAGCCCAGCCCCTGTCCAGCAGCACGTGCAAGGGCACCACAACCTGTCTGTGGATACCAGGGAACAATCCAGGAGAGCTGCTGACCATGACTCCCAAGGCAGCTCTCCCTGTTCCAGGCATGGTTGGCTGTGAGCACAGCTCTTCTGCTACACCACAACAACCAAAGTGCAGGCTCTGGCTCTGCATTTGCTTCAGAAATGCATTTTAATAACACTTTTTGGGAGAGGAGTCAGCTTGAGAGTTGGCCTGGGGTCCACACAAACCACCTGGGGGAGGAGAGGTAACCACCCCTGCTCCATGCACTGTGCTCATCCCTCACTTCCCCTCCTCACCACAACTCAAATGCACCCATTGGCACCTTCACCCTCACTCTCCCTGCCACAAGCCAACCAAGAACACCCCAGAAGCCACTTAACAACCCATCTTTCTTCATCTGCCAGCAGAGTGGCACCCAAAGCGGGGAGGGAGGAAGGTCCAACATTACTTCTGAAGGCATGATCTGCCCACTGCATTCACTGCTGTGAGAGCTTCCTTCTTTTTATCCAGACACGCAAGACCAGGAATGCAGGTGGGATGCAAATCCCAGTTGCTTGGGCTGTTTTTCCCAGTATCCACGCACCAGTAGCAGTTTCCAGTGCTTTGCTTGCTTGCTCAAAAAACTGTCAGTAACTTAACTGGCAGTTGCCAGCTTCAGGCTGTAACTGGGAAAATGCGCCCACTCAGCTCTGGAGCGGTCCAGGAAAGCATTCCTAATTCCCCCTCCCATTCCCAGCTGGATTGGGGGAGGCGGGGAGGGGAGAAAAGAGCATCAATTGAGGCTTTCACTTCCCAGCAATGATGCTCATCTGCCACCGAAAATTAACTCCATGTGAGTCTTATTTTCGCTGTGGTTTGCTCTCCGTGGTTTCCAAAAGGGAAATGATACCCCCTTCCCACATGTGCTCATCCCACTGCTGCGGCCGCGGGAGCCGGGGCTCCTCAGGTCTGCCCACCTTGTCCTGGCTGGGATGGATTTACTGGCATGGGAACAAGGACCTCTCTGCACTGCACAGGGGGATTTTCTGAGGGTGTTCACAGGCAGAAATGAGGGGTTTATCTGCAGAGAATGCTCGCTCTGAGCAGAGCTGGGAACAGAGAGCCCCAAACGGAAGGGACTCAGCAGCTGTGTGCTGGTGCGACCCCGAGGACATCCCTCAGGCCTGCCCCAGGATGCAGCACCCTTTGCAGGGGGTTTCCCTGGGGTGTGAGGCTGCAGGAGGAGGGGGCACAGGGGACTCACCTCCCGGGCTGGTCGGGGTATTTGTGTTTGCAATAAGCCTCTAGCGACGCGTACACCTTCTCCCGCAACGCCTCCACTTCGGCCGGGTTCGACAGACCCTTCGAGTCTGAAAGGCAACAAAAAGACCATCAGCCAAAAAATCTCCAGGCTTTCCAGGCAGGCAAGGACCCCCCATGAGCTCCCCAGCTCCCTCCATCCCGCTCAGCACCACCAGACCAGGGCAGAGCGTGGATGCAGGGTGTGAGCCCTGGGTGTTTGGGGCAGTACCAAACAACTCCTGGGGAGCATTCGAGCCCTCAAAGGTTTGCCTTGTGACTACAGATCTGGTTTATTCCGCTTCATATCCCCACCCCAACCATTTTGGCTCATTCCAGTGGTCCCTCATTTGAAGGGTTTAAGCCCCCCTTAAATCCTGGGCTTGTGGGATTTCTCCCTCCAGCACAAGCCCTGAGCTGGGGCTAAAGGAGAAGCCCCGGCTCTGGCAGGTCCCCTGTGACACAGCCAGGATCTGTTTTTAGTAGGGTGAAAGGGACAGTCAAGAAATCGATATCCCCAAGCACATGTGCCACGGGAACCTCTCCAGATTCCCCTTCTTTTACCATATATGGCTAATCCCAAATTACAGACAATAAATTACTGGTGATTACAAGGAGGGCAGGGAATAAAAAAAAAAAAAAAAAAAGCCAAGAAGAAAAACAAACCCAAGAAACAGCAATAAACCCTGCTGAAACGGCCTGGCCTGGGTTTGGTGGGAAAATCCAGGGAAGGAGCCGTGCTTGGGCACAAACTGTGCTCCTGAGAGGGCAGGGAAGGGAGGGGAGGGGTGGCTGTGGATGTGGAGGTCTATCCTTGGCTTCCATTTGATTTTTTGCTCTGGACTGACCTGCTCTAAAATAGAGAGACACCCTCTGAGCAGAGCTGTGCAGGTATGTGCAGGCTGCCAGCTGGCTCCTGCTGCACAGGGATTTGCTCCCCAAAATGCTGGAGACAAGCCCTGGCACTGAACCTTCTTCTTCCCTTGGGCAGCTCGGGCCAGGGGGGAAAAGCGAGCAGCATGAACCTTCCTGGAGTCTGTGGAACCAAGCAAACTGCTGACAGATGTTCAAGTTCTTGTGTATTTTATGAGCACGTTTCATGTCTTTCACCCTCTCCAGGTCTGCGAAGGGCTTTTCCAGAAACACGGGTAATAAAACCCTCTGGATGATGAGATCAGGAAACAGAGACAACAATGTCCGTGCTCTGGCACTGCTCTAATCTGTACTTTTCTCTTAAAGGATGTCTACATTCAATTTTGCTTCGATTCAGGGATAATTCCCTCATGCACTAGAACTTTCTTCTCACAGAGTCACTCTAAAAGGGGGGCAAGCTGAGAGGATGAGGGGGAATGGCTGTAAACTGAAAGACAGCAGGCTTAGATTGGATATTAGGAAGAAATTCTTCCCTGTGAGGGTGGTGAGACACTGAACAGGTTACCCAGAAAAGCCGTGCCTGCCCCTGCAAGTGTTTAAGGGCAGGTTGGACAGGGCTTGGAGCAACCTGGGACAGTGGAAGGTGTCCCTGCCCATGACACGGGGTGTGAAAGGATGAACTTTAAAGTGCCTCCAACTCAAACCACTCTGTGATTCTGTGAAAGGGAGGAATGGATAAGAGCACTGGGACAGATCCAGATCCACCCCTGCCCTGCACAGGACATGCCTGTAAGGTGGCAGTGCCTGTGCAGCACTTAATTCAGCTTTCACCCTTGCCTCTCTTCCTTCTTGCCCTGTCCTTGGTAACGGGGTGCCCTCAGCTACTTGCAGTGGAGATTTATAGGGAAGAAGAGGTGCCAAAAGGACAGAGCATCAGCCAAGAGGGCACAGGAGAGAAGATACAGTCATGTACCAGGGTTGAAGAGGACAATGGCTCGCAGGCAGCCCAGCTCTGTCTTGTCCATCAGCATGTCTCGCATTTTTGACACGAGTTCTGTCAATACTCTGCAAAGGACACAGAAATCACAGGCGTCAGTGTTAAAGAGAAATGAGAACACCCAGGTGTCAGAGCCAGAGTGAGTTCCTCTGGTCACAGTTAACGAAGCCAGGGGATGGTGCTCGCTTGTACCAGCTGAGGATGTGGCCTCATCTTCCTCCTCTATCAAAAATAGCTCATTAGGAACACCAATAGTTCCCGTGAGGTACAACAGGGGCCATAAAAACTGGCTTCATCCATTCACCGAGAGGTTTTGGCACCTGAGAAAGCTGCCTAAAAATAAAAAATAATAATAAAAACCCACCCCAACAGGTACCTAAAAGTAATTTCCTCTGCCGGTAATTTTTATTGCTCCCTTCGCTCCTACCGCAGGTGCCGGTCTTGAAATATTTTCCACTGATTGCCCAGTTTTTCATGTTAGATCCTGCAGGGAAGTCATGATCTTGCACTTATGACCTCACAGGAACAAATGATGTCACCCAGGTCTGAAGAACAATTTCCTTGCAAGGCACAGCACCAGAGGTGATTTGCTTTCGACTAAGTCGCCTCAAGACGAGTGTCAGGCAGAGAAATCGGCATTTCAGCGGCGTCTGGAGCCACACTGTGGGTCAAACACCCTGGAAGTCTGGCTTTAAAACACTTTCCCAAAGCCTGAGATTAAAGAGCCCTCGGGACACGCACGTGGAACCTGCTGAGTATTTTTGGTGCCTTTTCATTGTGAAAATAAAATCACGTCTTGGTCCAATTAAAGATGAAAAGAAACAATGGAGTGGCCTCCTCGTAACATTAGAAGGCATCTGGACCCCATGAAAGAGGCTTTGATTTGCACTGGGCAGCCTTCTCCCTGTTCTGGGCTGTTGGGTTTTGCAGGTTTAAGAGGAGGATTTAATGTTTTGGCCTGCAGCAGGGACCACAACACTTCCATGCACGCCATGGGATGGACACCCTCACCCTGGGCTCCTCCAAGGTTGCAACGTGGGGAACGGAGGCAGTTTGGTGCAGAGACAGAGATGGGGATGTCCAGGCAAGGTGTTTTGAGGTGCAGTCCACCCATCCATCCATCCATCCATCCATGCATCCATCCATCCTCCCTCCCTCTGCCCACCTGTCGAAGATGGCCCCGACGCCAGCGCTGTGCGCGCTGTTCCGGTGCACGTGGAGCCCGGTGGCTAAGAGGATCCCGTCTTTCACAGCTATGGAGCGGTGGGAGAAGGAGGCAATTAGGAGCTCATTCCACCCTGGGGAGGAGAGAACAACCAAGGCTGCGGGTTAGAGCCACCTCAGCGGGTCTGGGAATCCGAATCACCTCCCCAGTGCTAAAAAGAGGAGGAACGTGCTGGAGGAACGTGGCTGGATGTGGGAAGGGAGAGGGGAGCCAGCCTTTTCTTGGATGTCAGGGAAGGAAAAAACCATTAAGAAACAAATGCACTAAAAATATAACGCTAATAAGGGAAGCAGTTTCCTCTATAAACCGTGCAGACACGGCAGCAAACAGCTCTGCCTGCTCCTCTCGCTGTGAACCTCCGTGTGGGTGTGGAGCCCTGTGCTCCCCTCTGCCCTCACCCGCTGCCTCCCAGCACTTCCACACCTATCAACGCTTTCTATCACTTAATTGGGCTCATTTTCAGGCCATAACAGGGCAGGAAAGTTCATTCACCATCATTCAGCTCTGTAAAAGGGACCAGGAAAACTCTGTCTTGTGGGTTTGCTGCTTCTGCCGTGTAAATACTGGGAGGGATTGTGTCTGCTCTCTGCACCGGGGTGTCCCACATCCATGACTGCTCCATGAACTGCTTCCATAGCTGCTTGGAAACCAGCTTTTAGTCTTATTATCTGCTGGACATGTTATTTTGGGATATAGGAAACACATCCTCTGAGCCCAGACCTAGTTACAGGGAAGGGAAGGGAGATGGAACCTCCCCACCTTCCAGCTCCCCTTCCCAATCCAACACCTCTTTAAATTCCTAAATCCATCACAGGCTCAGTTCAAGAATGCCTGAAACAAAGCCACGACCAGAGGACGTGCTGCAAAGTTTGAAGGGTGGAAATTTTGGTGACTTTCAACCAAGGAGAAGCATTTTTGGGAAGAGAAGACGGTTCTTCTGCAACACCGGTCACGTGGCTGATTTACCCAGCCAGAACATGTCCTGGAGTTCAGAGCACAGGGCTGCCTGGCAGGGTCCAGAAACATCAGGATATTTGGCTTTGGTGTCTTTTTTTCCCAGTCTGGAAAAGCAACACAACAATCCTTCACCCCTCCTGCCACAGGAACACGTCGCGTCTCACTGACTGGAATAAACACAAGGTCCATGTGTGCTGTATTTACCTACTGCTGCAGCCATGGGTTGTGCCATTAGAAATGTTGACAAGGAATAAAGTTCACTCTTTCCTAAGTGGCCACAGGATGTTTCCACCCCAATCACGGGAACGTTTATTTGGCTATTTACTGGGTGAGGCCTGGCACTTTCACAGGGATTGCAACACTGTGAAACCCAAGGAGAACGGAGGAGAAGATGTGGGACTGCACCAGGAGCCTGAAGAAACTGTGTTCCCTGGATGAAGAGGAACTCCCAGAGCCAGACCCACAGGAAGGTGCCAGGGGTGCCTCCCACCAGCCATCACACACAGACCCACGGCAGCTCCGCATGCAGCTCCAACCAACAAAAACCAGAGCTGGCTCACAACATCCATTCCAAGCTGGGCTTATTCCAGGGAAGGAGCACTGAATTAATCAACATCCTTCAGCTAAATTATTCCCATGTAGAGCTGGGATGTTCCAGCTGAAACGGGGAAGCTGCTTCTACATGGTCCTTTCACCAGAACATCCCCAAAGAGCTCACAAAATAGAGACAAGCAGGAAATATTAGGTGTAACCACAGGCAGAAAATTTGAGTTAAGAGACCAAAGAAGTCTACTCCCAAGATTTTTGCATTTGAGCCCAAGCTCTGGAGAAGCAGAGCAGATTTCTTCAATTTGTGTGACTCCTTCCTCACCACACAAGGTGGCTGTGCAGCCTCCAGGGATGCTTTGGCTCCTCTGGGATAGGGAAGGCACCTTGGCAGCGCAGTGACCATTGTGACAATCCACCTCACTGCCAAGTTTCCCCACCAGCCCTACAAAACCAACTGCAGCTGCAGAGATGTAATGCTCAGCATCCTCTGCCAGGCTGAGAAAACATCAGGCTATTCCTGTCTCAGCCCTAGCAAGCTTGGAAACGAGAAAACAAGGGGAAAAACAGGCTTAAAAAGTCAGGTTTCCTTCCCCTCCAAAAAGCTCAGAGAGGGAAATATTTTTAAATGATTCAGGATCTGAGGAGAGCTGCTGCCAGCCCATCCAGCACTGCTCCTCCAAAGATGTGTGCTCCACTTATTTTGCCTCCCAGGATGCATGACTGAACCTGACTGACGCTCTTAGCTGAATTTTAATACCTTAATATTTCATGGGCAGCTGTTCTCAGCAGGCCGCTCTCCACACTCAATAATACATAGAGCCACTGGTTAAAAGACTTGGGGGAGGTTATCTGAGGCCCTGGCAGAGACACTCAGAGCAGGGAGCCCACTGGAGCTGCTGCAGGTGCTCAGCAACCTCGTTCCCATGGGGTTAGAGCCACCATGAAATTTGGGATGTGACGGGGTCTGCAGCCCCTCTGCTCCTGCCCATGGAGTGGCCCCGAGGGGGAGAACATCAGGTCAGGAACATTCAGCTTCCATTAGCTGCCCTCTAAAGAGAAAGGAAAACCCAGAGCTGTTGTTGTGGGTTTTGGTCCCTCTTCACAAAGGGAATCTGGTCTGAATCCAGCTCTTCCCTGAGATATTTGAAGGAAGCTCTCAAAGATTCCTGCAGAGATGCTTCCCTGCTCATCCACTCTCACGAGAGGCTCTAGAGACCCTCTTCAAAAACACATTTCTGTACGTTCCATTGAGGGCCTGGAGCCAGCTCTGGCAATACTGACACCCACAGAAAAGCCAGAGGAGCACCTTCACCAAGGGGTTGCAGGAGTTATCCTGGGAGGGTGCAGGACCTGGCCAAGTCTGCAGAGAGAATAACCCCCCAAAAATTTTCATTCCCAGACTACTAGATGAGCTGTGACTATAAAAATCCCCTTTCAGTAAAATAAGTGGAAAACACACACCAGCAAACAGTGTGACTTAAACAACCAGACACTCTTGAGGTCAAGGATGTCAGAGAGGTTCTGAGGGTAACGGGGTATCTGTGTGTAGGGTCAAGGTATGGGCTAATAGTCAATAAAAAGTTGCACAAAGTTTAAAGATTCGTGCACTTGGGCTACAGTCAGCCTTAAAAAACAGAATGGCAGCTAGAGTTGGTGTGGTGGGAATGGGAAAACACTGATCCCATCACCTTCCTACCCTAGAGTCCCTACAGCTTCTCCTGAAGCAACCTGGACAGACCTTGGACCCAAAGAGTTCTAACAGTTCCTATGTTTTGTGTTGATGTGAATACCTTGCACTTGGTCCTTACAACACTCTTCTGCCCAATTTCATGGGGATTTATTGGGGGGACACACATTTTCTATGGTAAAAAGTCAGAATGCTGCCATCAAGGTGGATCAGCAGCATCTTCTCTACAGAGACTCGAGGTCAGAAGGGTGCAGAGAGAGGAGTCACACTCTGCAGGCTTCTCTCCTCTTGAATTCCCTACAAAAGTGAATTTTGGGGAAACAAGAGGAACTTTTAGAACTGCCAGGGACTTCAAAGTCCCCAGCTTACAAAGAGCTTCATGCCTAAAACACATCCTCACTGAGCTCTGCTCTGATTTCTTGCCCTCCACGATCTCTGTACAGCAGCAGGGGCTTGAATTCACTCGATGGGGGAAGACCCTTTTTACAGCAAACTGCTTTCCACCTCCCAAATCCTGCAGCCCCCCTGCTGCACAAGGAAATTTAAAATAAGCCCAGAGAATTTTATTTTCATCTTGGTGGGTGGGAGAAGGAGGGCGATACAGTTTTCTCCCCTTTCTGGTTTTAATTATGATCAAACATTTTAGCTGGATGAAATTTCATGGAGGCCCAAGCCCACTTGGTCTCTCAAGTCTCAGTAGTCTGGGAGGAAGGCAGAGTGTTAAGTCTCTTGGTTTAAATCACCCAGCACCCATCTCTGAGCCCCTCACTCATGAGAGATGAAGCCAGGCCATTTTTCAGCTGATTGGCAGCTGGTGCCACGTTCTGGATCCCATTCAGCAACACGTGTCCCTTGGGGCTTTTTAAATCCTATTTAGAGATTGAACGGTCAGAGGCTGTTACTCAGAATCAGTTAAAGGCTTTCAAAGCTGCCAGGACCTAAATCTAAGGGTAGTACCTGTCCCAGTGAGCTGCAGCACTCCCATCCCACTCACCTGCTCGGAGCAAGATGACCTGGTCGTCCAGGGGCAGCTCGGAGAAGTGGGGGATCCTCTTGGCCCACTCCACCAGGGTGAAGAGCTGTTTGTCTGCTGCCTGGCATATGTTCGTCACTGGATCATTGGGCTGCCAGGAAAAAGAGAATGGAAAGGCTTGGAGAAGGCAGAGCAAGGAGAGGAGAGGCTGGAGCAGCAGCTGAAGGGGCTTTCGGCCTCCCTGCCACCCCCGAGCTGGATGTTATCAGTCACAGGGAGAGGAGGTGATTTGGCCTCTCCACCATATGGGTTTTAATAGTTTTTAGCAAGCTCCAAAGCGGGAATTGGGAGTGCTGAGAACCAATATCCATCACACTGACTGATGAATCAAAGGACCTCCAGCCCAGGGAAGGGCAGGCTCCCCATGCCAGCATCTCCCAGCTCGATAAACCAGCACCAGAGGGGGCATTACAGAAAAAAAGAGAAAACCCCTTTCCTTTGAAATATTATCCAGTAACAAAAACCATCTGCTCTCAAGGAGGACAGTCAGCCTAAACACACCAAATCCCTGTTTAAAGGAACTGCTAACAGCTCAAGTGGGTTTGTGATTAGGAACTGGAAGAGCCTGTCTAACCCTGACTGAGGCAGAGCTCACTGGTACAAGTGTGTGTGTAGGGTTTACCTCTCTGGACAGGGATGTATGAGCCCTTCCACATCTCCCACTGTAATCCCTGCTGATATCCAGCAGCCTGGATTGTACAATTATTTTTCTTCCATGTCCTTAAAAGAGCAGTTTCCAAACCAGAAGGAGCAGTGTTTACTTCACCCCTGGACTGCAGGGGGAACGGGGTGTGAATTCAGAGGCAGAGCAGACACGACCACCAGTGTAACCTCTCCCCCTGCAAGGCCATTCCTCACCACTTTAAACCTTCCAAACCCAGGCTGGACAAACAAGGGTCACGCTGCTCAGTCACCCTCCTGCCCCCCACAGCCTTGCCCCAGACCCTGGCCCAGTCCTCTCTGCTGTGCCCTGGCAGCAAACCCAAACTCTCTGCCTCATGGCCACCATCTCCCATTCTCCAGGCTTAAAATAACCAGGATCTGGCAAGCTCAGGGCACTCGCCTTTGAGGTATTTTCAGCTGTTGCGTGCAGAGATGGATGGGCATGGGCTGGCACTGCTGTGGGGATGGGCCCCCCTGCTCTGCCCCTCTCCAGCAGCTCCCAGGGAGCTGAGGCTCTCCCCTGGGGAGGGAGATGTGAGCAGGGATGGGGCTTTTACCTGGCAGAGGGAGAAAAGATGGGATTTCCCTCTGGACAACAGGAAATTGCTAAACTGGGTGTGAGGAGGAGGTGTGAGGAGGAGCTTTGCAGGGTTGTTTTGCTGGAAACACAGGGAATGTTGGCATTTAGAGGCGTTTTCAGGAAGGGTGAGAAGGAACACCTGTGGTGCAGCCTATAGGAATGTCTCCAACCTCAAGCCATCTCAGTTTGGTCAGCTGGAGCAGCCAGGTAGAGAAACCCAGCATCCTGGCTCCTGTGGGATGGGGATGGAGCCCTGTGTGCCCCAGAGGGGACATGACCTATGGGAGAGCCCATGCTCCAGCACAACCTGACCCAGCATGTGCCTGCACAGCCCCACAAAAGGGGTATTTTAGGCAAGGAAGATGTTTTTGCCAAAGCTTTTATCAGGGGTGGCTTCTGGGCAGGTTGTCACCTGGGACCCACAAGGTGGGCTGCAGGTGCCCCGGCCCAGGCTGTCACTGGGGGTCTTTGGGCAGCACAAGATGTACCCAACCTCTGGTGCTCTGTCCAAAGCCTCAGCGAGGGGCCCAGCCTTTAATTACACCTCAGATGGCAATTCCTGGAACCACCACGGCACTTCCCGGAACCACCACGGCACTTCCCGCCAGAACTTAATCAAGGTAGAGTGAGAGGCAGCTAAAAGTATCCTCCCTGCAGATCCAGAGGGCCCTGCCTGGGCACAGAGGGGCTGGAAACCCTCCCTGTGCACGGAAAGCAAATCCCCTCCTGCAGTAAATAGCAAGGGCAGGGTGCTGGAGTGTGACAAAATGAAAGGGCACTTGATCCTCTTGGAAAACTGGAGCTTGGGGACATCTTCCAGAAACTGGTGACTTGGAACCAGACATCAAAGGCCAATTAAGAGCTAATGGGGATAACACCTCTCAGTTACACACTCTGCCTTTCAGAGGCCAGGAGCCCATCCACGGTGGTGCTTCCACCACAGGAGCACAGATTCCCAGCAGCCAGGGACATGGGGCAGAGGAAAACCCATCCTCACTGTCCAGGGACAGGTACCTGCTCCAAGAGCAGCCAGGGGACCATGGCACAAGGTGACAGTCACAGGCATGAGAACATGTAGTGACAGGACAAGGGGGAATGGATTCAAACTGGAAGAGGGTAGGTTTAGATGAGATATTAGGAAAAAATTCTTTCCTGTGAGGGTGGTGAGGCACTGGCACAGGTTGCCCAGAGAAGTGGACCCATTCCTAGAAGTGTTCAAGGCCAGATTGGACAGGGCTTGGAGCAACCTGGGCTAGTGGAAGGTGTCCCTGCCCATGGCAGGGGTGACCTTGAACTTTCCAACCCAAACTACTCTATGATTCCATGTGGGAGAGGAGGGTGTTAACTCGTACATCACCCTGTCACCTCCATCCCAACCTGGCACAGCCAGGTGGAAATGTCCTTGCAGGTTACCAGAAGCATTCCTTGCAGATGGACTAAGGTGCAGAGGCACAAACCAAAGGACCCAACACACCAGGCTAATAGCAAACAGCTTGTGTTTTACCCCCTGTCTATCAGGGACTCGATTTGTCTGCCTTTGCATCACCTGGGCTCCCAGGGGAGGGCTGGGAGGACGGTTCCTCCTCCATCTTCCCTTGCCTCATCCGGTGGCCTCGTCCCTGGGAGCTGCTGATCTCATACATCTGCTAAACCTGCTACAAATGTCACCTCAGCGGCAGAAGCCGCCTGACAATAATAGGGCATTTCAACAAGCCTCCTGCTTCTATTTAGATGCAACACACATCCTTGTTCACAGTAATGCGTGCTGAATTATGCAGGAACCAGCTTTCAATTTGCTACAAGAGGCTGAGGAGACGCAGTGCCAGACGAAGCCATTTATTTCAGCTCGCTCTCTGGGGTTTGTTTTCAAGTCAGCACAACGCTGGCTCCAACTCCCCTGAAGTGTTTTTAATCCTGAGAGCAGCCAGAGCCTCTCTGAGCCCCTCACTAACTGCTGCCTCTTCCTCCAAAACCGGAAAAGTCCCTTGCAGCTTCATGGTGATGGGACCCTCCTCTCAAATGCAGGTGAGCACCACACCCTGTATCTGATTCTGGAGAGTTTCACTGAGGAACTGGCTCTGTCCACATCAGGAAGCCTCGAGTGTCCAAATCAGCCCTATCCATACCACACTCACTGAAAAGCCTCACCTAAGGGATCCAGCCATAAGGTGTCCTTGCAGGTGAAGGCCAAAAAGAGCATCCCCCAGAGCCAGTTAAGACTTAGGAGCAGCCTGACTCTGAAATCTCTTGTCCAGCCCCACCAAGCAGAATCAGTCATAGAATGGTTTGGGTTGGAAGTGACCTTAAAGATCATCTCATTCCATCATGCCATGGGCAAAGATGAAGGTATTTCTGACTCAACCCTCCAAGCCTCATATAAAAGAAGACATGAAGTATTATTGTAGCAGAACATAAATACTGCAGAGCCCTTCCACCTGCTAGAAATAGCTGCATTTCATCATCTCAGCCTCACAGACACCCAGCAGAGAGCATTAAGAATTGCACCAGACCAGGATGCTCCAAGCCCTGTCCTATTTCCCTGTCATCTCTCTCCTGTTTACACAAGGTCCTGTTAGAGCCCAGATGCTCCAAGCAGGCCCAGTCATAATGCAAGTTTCTAAACGGGAAAGAAACATGAAAGCAAATCTCTAGGCAAATTTGTGCAGCTTTTCTCTTCTCAGAGCCAAGCAGCTGTGTAATTCTGCCTCTGAAAAGTCACACCCTCAGTTTACAGCTCTTATCTCTCTGCACTTCAGCCACGCAGGTCTGTTTATTGGCTCCATTGGACTCTGAGCTCTTCAGAGCATGGAGTGTCTTTCTGCCTTTTAGCACTGAGGGCTGTTAATTAAAATAAAATCTTCTCTGCGAGCCCTTCTAATTACGCCTCACAGTATCTGTGCCTTCCCTGTGGCTGTGGGATAGAACAGTACCAATGCTGGTGGCTGCTGGGTCTGCTTTCCACGTGCTTCCATCTGAGCTCACACACGGAGTGTACAGCAGAGGCAAGGAGCTGCATTTCTGAGCTCCTTCTTCTCCCACAGGACAACCCCCCCCATGCCCCAGGCTCAGGGCTGTACCCATGGTCAGCCTCTCCTGATGCCCCACAGCCACCCCTCGTGCCCCAAGTGGGCAGGGGCAGGAGGTGCCTCACCGAGCTCGGCGTCAGGCCCATGTTTGCCTCGATGTAGGTCTCTGTCTTTGGCTCCACAGCGAGTTCAGCTTCCAGGATCTTTTCCACAGGCATGTCCTCGTTGGCGCTACTTGTCGACTCCACCTCGTTCTCGTTGCGGTCCTTCCCCCGCTGCCTCTCCTCCTGGACAGCTGGAAGGGGACAGAGGAGGGACAGTGTCACTCTGGGCTCCAGGCTCCATGGAGCTATGGGTGTTATTTAGCCATGAAATCCCAGAGCATCCTCAGACCTGCAGGATCACACAGACATCTGAGGTCTTGCTCTCCCACCAGTGTGGTCAGTGGGTCTCAGGATTGGGTTCAAGGTGAGGTGAGGTTTGGGGAAGACACCAAGGCAGCCCCAGCCTGAGAGCTGCTCCTTGTGTGCCCCCCTGGGAGTGTGGCAAGGGAGGATCCTGCTTGGACCTGGCCTCTGCTGGGAAAATCCCATTTTTGCAGAGGGGGAGGCCCTGGAAAAAAAAAGGTTAAAGACAAAAAAAGCAAAGGAAGCAACATGGCAAGTCACCCCAGGAGTGGGAAAGGGATAGCTGAGGTCATACAATAAGGGAATACTAAAGAAAAGAGAAACTGGTCAGTTAAAAGCACAAATCCAGAGTTCAACCATCTTCTGAGGCTGTTATTCCCATTGAGGTCATGTCATGCACCTCTCTAGCTCCCAGTGATGCCGAAGGCTGAGCAGGGCTCCGTGGCAGGATGGTGCTCCCGTGGGACAGGAGCTCCATGCAAACCACCACCCTGCCTTTGGCTCGGGGCAACCTCTGAACAGACAGGAGAGACCTGTCCCAAATCCTGTGTGGCAGGAGGAACCTCGCCAGAAGCTTGTCACATGCTGATGAGTTATGTCTGAGCAGCACAGAGATGAAAAACACTTATTAGATGCTAATAACATTATTATTAATGACCTCCCTTTGAAACCAGCACACACTTTCCCTACACCTGGGAAGGAGCTTTATGCAGTTACAGTGGGAACTATCTCCTTCTCCATCATCATGTCATATACCCTAAATCCCACACTCTTCCACACACTGTTGTTTCTCACAGTTTGTTTTAGCTCAGTCTACTTGAGAACAGCCCCAGCAACAGGAGATCCATCACTGGCCATGAGAGACAACTCCCTGAGCTTGCCCAGCTCTTTGCTGAGGACTGAATGACACACTCAGTAAGGTAAAAGCCCTGCTATTTACTGACAATTATCCCAACACTTTCCCTCTCTGCTGAATTTGAAGCTGGTTATGTGATGTTTAGGGAAAGCAGCAGGGGCACAGCATTATTTGGGGGAAATGAGAGCTGTCTGTAACACAAGGAGGCTTTTTAGGCAATCAGCGGGTCCAGCTCTATGCCAAGTGCAAAAATAAAACCTGCAATACAAAACTCATTCCTTACAAACCAGGAAATTAAGACACATGCTAAACGAGCCCTATATGGATGTTGATCCCATTAACCCAGCTCCTGGGGCTGATTCCCACTGCTCTCCCTCCCCTCCTGCAGTGCTGCTGTTTGCTGCACGTCAACAGTGCTCACACTCCTTCCATGTGAAAGCTGTCATGCAAAAAAGCAAGGGGTTATTTTTTGCAAACTGCTCTGAAGTTTATGGGCTGCAGAGGCTCCCCAGGCCCACGTTACGTGTTCTGCTCTGGCTGCCAGAGCCAGGTAAGCTGCTGCTGTCAAGGGCTCAGATTTGTGTCGTGGCTTTTGTCCATCTGGCTCTTGTCTGGCACGGATTCTTCTTTTTCAGGCCAACATAAAACCCTGCTTAAATTTCACCCCCCACCCCTACTCCTGCTTCTTCAAGCGTCAAAAAGATAGAAATTTTTCCTTAATGTCAACCCTTCTTCAACAGCACAGATGCACCAAAACTCCTCTGGGCACATTAGAAGAGATAAAACACCTACTAAATAACAGAAAAGCCTGAGAGAAAGGCAAACCCTCAACAAATGGGATCTTACAAAATGACTTAAATGCCAAAATTCTGATGCACAGTCACAGCAGGTCTTAAGGATAAAGGTGCAAAGTTGGTTCCTTGCTCTGAGATCAACCACCTCCATCACTTGGGGTGTCAGCCCCAAAAACTCACCCTCGTGCTGGACAATGGGATTTGTGGGAAAGCATCACAGAGGTCTGGGGAGACAGTGGCTACTTAAAGCCTTAAGTAGCAAATCTCAACCTCACCAAAGCCAACAGCCACATTCTTGGCACGAAGAATCAGAGACACTTCAGGGGTTATAGGAGAGAGAATCTTACAGTCCATCACGACAGCTCTGGCCTGTGATTAGGCTGAATCCAGCTGATACAAACGACAGACAGAAGAGACAGATGGGAAGAGATTATACACATAAGTAGTTATTCCTATTGATCTCTGCTTTGAGCTGTTACACCAGAAAATTGGTGCTACATCTCGCTGGGGAGCTGGTCAGGGGACAGCTGACTCATCCCAGCTCAGCCCCACGCAATCCCAACACTCGCCCCGTCCCAGCTGCCTGAGGTAGCAGTGACACCCCAGGCAGAGCAGATGGTGTATTCCCACCCAGTATCCAAAGATAAACCCAGTTCTTGCCGGGGAGAGCATTACCTGCTTTGCTACCCCCGTGTTTCCAAGCCCAGCCAGCCTCCTCCAAAGGCAGGACCAGCCTGGCGTCACTTTGCCCATCCCATCCCATCCCATCCCTGGCTCTCTGGGCTGCAGGAAAGCACTGGCTGTTTCCCAACACTGAGCTCAGAGACCCTGTTATCCCCCCTTCCCCCGAGGATGATGCCTCATGCACAGGTCTGCACCAAGGTGTGCACCTGCAGCAGCAGGTGACTGCACTACGTGAATCTCCGCCGCTCCTTAGGTGTTTGTGAACCCCACCTGGGAATGATGCAGGACACCTGCCCAGCCCTGGTTGATGGATGCAGCTCTCAGGGATGCCTGTGAGGCTGTTGACTCAGTTGTTTTCTCTCCCTACAGGCAGCTCCAGCAATGAAGTGATAACAGCTTCATTCTTCATGTGTGCAACAGGTTTGCTCCTACCCCAGCTCTGTGGTTGGCCTTGGGGTACACATGAACTCCACTCCAACAATCATCTTACTGTCACCTTGTTCTTCCAGGTGTGGCACTCCCAATGTCCCCCTTTAGGATCCAGAGGCTGAATTCAAACTTTGTGTCTCCATTTTCCTAATTTAAGATACACCTTGAAGCATCCTACGGCTCCAGGGGCAGAAAGCCCAACAAGTTGTCCTGAAAGGTGAAGGTATTTGCAGCTGGCATTCAAGACTCTGGGATTCTGTGGGTTCCAAGGACTTTGTTTCTTGAGATGTAGGGAAAAAATAGCACACAGGGCAGAGGAAGGAAAGAAGGGCAAGTATTTTTTTCTTAATCATGAAATATGAGATGTTTGTATGAAGGAAAATCTCCAGCAGTGAGGACACCGCTCACCATAATGATCTAGGATCTCATCTCTGGAGTCCACTCCCCCTTGAGATTAGTCAAATAAACCACACTGGAGATGACAAAAATACATTTTTCAAATGGACTTGGTGTGGGAACTGGGTTTCTTTGTGGGTTTGTTCTTTATAGTTTTAAAGAGAGGAATACAAATGTGGCAGCTGCATGGCAGTTTGTCTGGTAATACTGAAATGGGAACACCTCGTTCTTCTTGGCTTCCCAGAAGTCCTGTACATGGGGATGGATGGTGCTCCATCCCTGTAACACAGTAAAATTTAAAAACCAGAATCATTATACCATTTGGTTCTTGTTGCTTCTGCTGGATTTCCCTGTGCCCCCCCCCTCTGCACTGTGCCCTCCTGCTTTGCTGTGTGGGTAAAGAGACATCCAGCTGCTGTCCAAGAGAACCTTGGGAAGAGGATTAAACTACAGAGTGCCTGTGATTACAAGGCACTTGACAGCATGACCTCTAAAGACCTTTCCAAACCTCAGCTGGGCCCTCCTGCTCTTGCTGCAGTGAGATGGTGATAAGGAGGTGAAGGGCTGGCAACACATCCCGCTGCTGAGAGCAGGAGGAGGGAAGGGCTGGCAAGGGCTCTGCAAGACCAGTGTGATCATCCTGACTCCCATCACACTCAATTCCCGCCTCAGCAGACAGGTTTGTCTGGACAAACCACAGGGTTTGGCTCGGATGGATGCAGGGAAGCCACGGAGAGCAGCAGGTGTCCCTGTCCTTTCATCTCCCTCTCAGACTGTGGGTGTTAGAGCCACTCTTAGGACTGTGCTGTTCCCAACAACGCTGATTTTTCTGGTCATGAGGGTGGCTCAGCATTTCATCAACAGCGTGGGCCTATCCAAAAAACGGGATGTGAGCCAGGCATTTTGCTCGCTGCATCCCAAAAAAACACTCTCCTGCAAGGCAAAGCAGCCCCAAGCCGTGGCTCCCCCAGCCATGCCATGTTTCCAGAGCTGAGCTTCCCTGCGCTCTCCTCCGTGTTCACGGCCGTGCCAACGCTTTTGTTTTTCTTCAAGGAGACTCGTATGGCTGAGAGCTTTTCCAGTCTGATTTTCTAAGCATAAGGGAAGCATTTGAACCTTGCAATCCATTTGAGGAGAAAAAAAAGATGTTGTAGTCAGGGAGCTCGGAGAGGCGGCCCCACCTCCTCCAGCTATGTCTGAGCCGAGCCAAGGACAGAAGCCTGTGTTTTCCGTGGCACCTGATGAAGAGGCTCCCGTGTTGTTCTGCTTGATTTGGTCTTTACTTGCCTCATTTTTCATCTCGAGCTTCTCCAGCCCATCTGCACTTCCCCAGGCCATGGTACAGCAAGACACGGAACCCCGTGTGTCCAAAACGCTTCTTGGTGACCTCTCTCTCTTTAGGATCCAAAGTGTCTCAGCCCATGGGTTGCAGAAGAGCCTCAGCTACTGGGTCCAGGGGCTGATGTGCCAAAATGCCAGACCCATCCTCTGCTGGTGTCCACATCACACTGGCCACCTTGTCTTTGCTCGTGTGGCAGCATTTGATGGCTAAAAAAGCAAGTCTGAGTCCGTTGCAAAGTGACAACCGCCCCAGTTCAGGTGCCCAAACCAAGCACTGTGGGTGGTGCTCATGGGGCACTGCACTTCTGTACCAAAGGAATGCTTACAAAGGGAGGAAGAGGCCCAAGGGAGGCAGGATTTTCCACAGGGCAGAGGTGTTTCTGAGAGC